ATACTTCTATATACTCATTTATTCATTCATTATTTGGCCTAATACTCATTAATCATTCAACAAACGTTAAGTGGGCTAGACAATGGGACTATGCTGGTGTACAGGGTAGACCTCATGTTTGACCTCTTAGAATTGTATTCTCAAGCAGAAGGGAATAGCAGATGATAAAAATAAAGGTTATTTAGCTGGATAATGGTTTACTGCTGTAGTCTGAGTTCTAAACATTAATCAGTTTTTCTGCAGCGCTTTCAGCAAATCAAAAATGTTATCCTGTCCTCTTGGTAAATTGGTAAAGGAATTTAAGATGCTTGCTTCAGGTGTCTGTTCATACTCAAGAGTCTGTTCTATGAATGTAGCTAGAATATCAGCTCTGTGAAGGCAAGGACTTTGTTTTGTGGGCACCATGTGCCCAGTTCCTTGAAAAGTGTCTGCCACAGGGCAAGCCCTTAGTAAACACTCCTTGAATGACAATCCAGTGCTTGATAAAATTAGGAATTAATTTAAGTTTCTTGATACAGAAGCAAGTGGAAAGAAGAGAGGTATAAGAATGTTCTATTTAGATCCTAACATCTGTTGGAGCTCATTGGGCTCAGATCTTATAAAAATATCTTTTTTTGAAAATGGTTTTTGGAAAAATGACATCTCAAACAATGCTTGGTTCCTATGATACATTTATCACCTTAAAATGAATCAGGAAATTATAGCCATAATGAAGAGCTTTTGGGAATATCTGTTCTGAAAGGAGGTCAAGCATGTTACTCAAGTTTGTCCTAGCAGCAGGATAGTACATTGGGTTCCAATTATTCGACAATAGACCCTTTATTTTAAAAGTTCTTTTTAAAAAAATCCTAAAATGCAGACAACTATTGCTAGATGTATGGAGTTAACAATACCACTAGTTCCAGAGCATCCCTGGATAAAATGCCTCATGTACTTTCTTCTCTAGATGCAGAATAGACTGTAGGGGAAATGACTGTAATCAGTGGATTGTGTTTATCAGATGCCATAGATTTTAGTTTATGAGTCGCTTCATAGAAGTTGTCAGTGGTCCTGTGAACATTGTTAGAGCAGTTCCCTGAACAGTTTTTTAAATTAAGTTGTCTTGATCTCTGAGGGAGTGCAGTTGGAAGAGCAGAGAAGGTAATTTGGCTCTTGACCATCACTGTTTTCCAAATGGGTAATTTTTAGAATGGGATTGTCAGTGATTCTGGCTGACTTCGCTTAATATTAGATTCTTCATTAAGGTTGACAGGATCTGTTTGGGAACAGGGGAATGAAGTCTTCAGGGAGATAATCTAAATAAAAAAGAAATCCAATATTCTCTATTTGGAACATGGATGGTTTCTAAAATCTATCCCTTTTATGACTTGTCTCTGTTAAAAGATTATATTAATAAGCATTTATAAAAAGATGAACAGTTTAAAAAGGTAAAAGGTAAAAATTGATGTCAGCAAAAAAAAGTTTCTAAAAAATTGCAAAACTGATTAAATTGTAAAATAGTTGTTAATGAATGAGTGATTCTGACCAATATAATAAATATGATTAACTTCCAAAATCGTGAGAAAGAACGAAGTGACTAACTCAAGCAGGTAGGGGCTTCTAGGTTCCATTAGACTGTCTCTGTGATTCAGGTCAGGTTTCTTGAGCTAAGGTGGCTGCTTAACAGGTCTCCAGAGTCTAGGTTTGCCTTCCAGGGGTCTAGCATAAATATTAACAACTACAATAAAGTTAGAGCTAATGAGCAAACAAAGCAGTTTCACTTGCTTTTCCTTAGAGCTCTAAGCATAAGGAACCAGTGCCTAGGTCAGCAGTATCATTATGTCCTTATAAAAATTAGCTGTTTGCATAAATTGAATCTAACATTTTATATGTTTTATAGTAGACCATAAATACTTTCAACTTTTTATAAATAGTAAAACTATGAATGGGGTGAATACTCAGTGGCGTTACTAATGGGTCTTCAACTTAGGAACTATGACTGACGAGCTTGCCTTACAAAGCAATCATATCATTTTTGCTTAATTTAAACTTTGGTTCTATTTATTTAACCCATTAAATCTGCCACTCGAAAATTATGCTCTTTTGATGATTTCCTCCTAACTATGAAAGAAAGAGCTCAGTTTACAATTTAAAGTCAACATTACCTGCAAGCAATGGAATGGGATTACATTTCTTCCTTGGGAATATTTTCCACCTGGTATTGATAAAATGAATTTATATGCAATTCATATATGGAAGAATTTATGAAGCCCTTTATTCAACACCACATGAAGAGATTGAGGATGGACAAGGGCCTAACTTGTAAGTATGCAAATAATTTGATTATGTATTTACTTTCAACTTTTACCTACAATGAGTTGTGAGAGGGGGCAGATAAGAGCTTTGACAACAACTCCTTAAGTTTTTTTTAATATCAGAAAGATCTTCATTGTATTTCTGGTAATAAGAATAAGTAGCCTATTCACAAATAAGTGATATATTAACCAAATTTATTTTAAAACATTTTCTGATTTATATTGTATGAGCTAATTGGAACTGAAAATACCAGGGAACAATTGTAAATTATTTGAGCTTTCTAAAATGTAGAATTAAATCTACCAAGTAACCTGTTTTGTATATTTACATTATTTTCTCAGCCCTACATAACTCCAACACAAAGTCCAAATATGGTTTACTTTTTGCAAGTATTCCCTATGTATTATATTTTATAAATATTTGAGATTTTTGGTTTGATACCCACTCATTTCAGATGCTGCATATTTTGAGGGAAGAGATACTTTAAGCATTCATCATTTTTTCACAGTACCTAAAATTTAAAAACTACACATACATATAAAATTATAAATATCTAAGCATGTGTACTATATGTACAGTTTTTGATATTCTTTATATATAGCACAGATGAATCATTTTCAACATTTTTGTTTGACCTATTTTTCTATACTTTAACAACTCTGTCATTTCGATCAACTCCCATCTAATTGAAAATGAATCTACATAACTGTCAACTTGAATCAACTTCCTTCAGGCTGTACTAAGCATGGTACAGGACTATATGATTTCTGTAAAAAAGCTTATGTACTTTGAAAATCCATAGGTAAATCTCATTTTATAGGAGAGTTATATGAATGAAAGTATTTAATTAGCATACAGTACTTCTGTGTGACTTGAGTGACTGTTTGTAGTAGTCAGGGACTCACAGAAACCACCAGTAAGACACGAGAGGATACCTTTATTATTGCATGATGAACCTTAGATTCAGACTATCTGGATATGTCTTATAATGTGAACTCAACAAACTGCTCATATAAACTTTTTTAGGTGAGATTTGAATTAAGAAAAAAATGTATGTGTATATATAATTATTAGCATAGAAAGAATGATTTCTCATTTCTCAATGAATATTGTGGCAAGGTCTGCATATGTATGCATAAGAAAAATATATGTGTATAAAAAGATTTGATATATATTATATCATTTAAAAATAATATAGCAGATTAATGAACAATTTTTAAAGTAATTAAATAACATATATGTATTTCTTTTTAATTTTCTTTGTATTTAATGAACAAATAAAGTGTGGCTGTGTACTGAATGCTTAAAATTTGAATTTTTTTTTCTATGTGACCTGAAGCCATCGCTTTGAGTATTTTAAACCTTTCAACCTGAAGTGGATTATCGGAGACGACTGGGAGCAGCCAGACTCAGAGCTGTGGAAAGAGCTTTGCTGCGATCCTTTACATTCTGACAACACAGGTTATAACTCATAAGGAAAGGCACTCCATATACTGCCACCTTTTGGCCTCAGTTGGACAGCTGAAGTAAAATCATTGTCTGCTACCACTGTAAATGTTCCAACAACATGCCAGAAATAAATCATTTAATTGAACATGACTTCTACGCTTTATCTTTTACTA